ACTTGGCCTAATGGATGGTTTTGTAGATTGTTTTTTCGCTTTGATGGTCTGGAATGCACAGAAAGCGGGTGCCTCTGCTGTTCTTGTGGCTGACAATGTTGATGAGCCTTTGATTACCATGGACACACCCGAAGAGGATGTTTCGTCCGCAAAATACATTGAGAATATTACCATTCCTTCTGCTCTCGTCACAAAAGGTTTCGGTGAAAAGTTGAAGAAAGCAATTAGTGGAGGGGATATGGTCAACTTGAACCTTGACTGGAGAGAAGCTGTTCCACACCCTGATGACCGTGTCGAGTATGAATTGTGGACCAATAGCAACGATGAATGCGGGGTTAAGTGTGACATGTTGATGGAGTTTGTCAAGGATTTTAAGGGCGCCGCTCAGATTCTTGAGAAAGGCGGTTTCACGCAGTTTAGACCTCATTACATTACCTGGTATTGTCCTCATGCTTTCACACTGAGCAGACAGTGCAAGTCTCAGTGTATCAACAAGGGAAGATACTGTGCTCCTGATCCAGAACAGGACTTTAGCTCAGGATACGATGGAAAAGACGTCGTTGTGGAAAACTTGAGACAGCTTTGCGTTTACAAGGTGGCAAACGAAACCGGAAACCCCTGGGTCTGGTGGGATTATGTCACTGATTTCCAGATCAGATGTCCCATGAAGGAGAAGAAATACAACAAAGAATGTGCTGATTCCGTTATCAAATCTCTTGGTGAGTGCTTCTTCTATAGGTTCAAAATTCAAGAAATGCATAATACTTTTTTCTTTTTTTGGGAGAACAAGGCTTATTTTCTCCGTCTGTACAGGAATTGATAGCAGAAAACTTGACAAGTGCATGGGAGACCCTGATGCTGACATGGACAATCCAGTTCTAAAGGAAGAACAAGATGCACAAGTAAGAAATTTCTTATATTTATCTTCCGTCTGCATTATCCCGCGGGTATCTCACGGTTATGTTCTTTGAGTAATCCGTTTGAGATTTCGGATATTATGTAGGTTGGCAAGGGTACAAGGGGTGATGTGACCATATTGCCTACCTTGGTTGTCAACAACAGACAGTACCGAGGTTTGTCTTGCAGTGTTAACTTAAGACGTCAATACTCTATGTTCTGGTTTACCTTGTTAAATATATGGTTTCTTGCAGGCAAGTTGGAGAGGAGTGCTGTACTCAAGGCTCTATGTTCTGGTTTTGAGGAGACAACTGAACCAGCTATATGCTTGAGCACAGGTATATATTGTTGGTTTGTTTATTGTGACGCGTTGGTCTTGGCTAAGAGTGGGTGTTTCGGGTCTAACCCATACCCTCCAGGATAACTTTTGTGGATTGAAGTCTGAAGTTTGGGTTCCCCAGATATGTGAAAAACCTGAAATACCTGGCCCATAAAAGAGCAATAGCCTACCCAATCTCAGTGTAGATTTATTTTTGGTATAATTATAGATGCCCAAAGCTGGCTGTACTTGTACTTGAATTACCTGAACGTAGCCATCCTTGGGAGTAGTTTGTTTATCATTTTTACATACCCCGGCAATTATCTTACCCAATGCTGAAATACTGACCCCTACTTTTGACTAGGATTTGCCTGTTTATAATTTAAAGTAAATTTTAGACGCCCCATGCATCAAATAAATGTTTGGAATGTATTGTAAAACTGTAACATTGATCACACCGTTTAACACTTATTGTGAAATTTGAAATTCACTTCTTCTATTGCAATTGACAGATATGGAGTCAAATGAGTGCTTAGATAACAATGGCGGATGTTGGCAAGATAAATCAGCAAACATAACTGCTTGCAAGGTATAATAAGCTATTTCTCGCAAAAGTTCCTGTTATGTATATATTAATCTGCTTAATTTGCAGGATACATTTCGTGGAAGAGTATGTGAGTGTCCTCGAGTTGATGGAGTGCAATTTAAAGGGGATGGTTACAGCCACTGTGAACGTGAGTGTTCGTGTCATCATTTTTTTATTAGTTTTTATAATTTGAATGGACTTGTTATTAAGTAGCAATTCTCAGTATGGCAAAATATTAGTCTAAGTATCTGAGATATTCTTTTAGCTGCGCTTGTATAATTCCTAGTCTGTAGATTCATATTTTTAATCGCTCGCATTTCCCACTTGATCAAAATATAATGTTGGTTGCATGTTCATGAGAACTTCAAACTTTTATATTCCAGCTTTCCCATAATTCCTTTGTTGAAGATTTCCAATTTTTGTGTGCAAATTGGTGTTATTGTTGTGCTTTTGTTGTAAAAGGAAGGATTTTACAATTGAAATTTTAGCCTTGTTGCTGTTGTGCTTCTGTTGGGTGTCACATTTCATACTTATTTGGTGTTTGCATTGTAGCGAGCGGGCCAGGGAGATGCACAATCAACAATGGAGGTTGTTGGCATGAAGAGAGAGATGGACATGCGTTCTCTGCTTGTGTGGTTAGTGTTTCTTCTTCACTTTGCTTCACGTTTGAGCACAATCTCACCGTATAATAAGAGACTCATGTCTCAACTTGTAATACCTTCAGGACAAGGACAGTGTTAAGTGTGAGTGTCCCCCTGGATTTAAAGGAGATGGTATTAAGAAATGTGAAGGTTAGAATGTTCTGTTAAACTTGGGTTACCGTACTTCTTTGTGCTACTTCTAATTTTCTTTATGAGAATTTCCGTGCCTCCTTCACCAGACATTAATGAGTGCAAAGAGAAGAAAGCTTGTCAGTGCCCAGAATGTAGGTGCAAGAACACCTGGGGAAGCTATGAATGCTCTTGTAGCGGGGACCTTCTCTACATGAGAGACCATGACACTTGCATCAGTGAGTTTTCATAGCATGCAAATAGCTTTTTATTTAAACAAGTTCTCAAGTCTCTTTTCCAATTGTTATTTTTCTATTCTGTCGAAATTTAGGCAAGACAGGTGCACAAGTGAGATCAGCATGGGCGGCCGTTTGGCTTATAATGTTATCATTGGGACTTGCAGCTGCTGGGGCGTATCTTGTTTACAAGTATAGGTTGAGGGTAAGCATTTCTAATTCATCCTTCTGTTCTTTTATTTGATGTTGTGTTAAAACTTAAAACCAAAGATAACTTTTGTTTTGTGGCCTGAGATGTCTGTTAAAACACATTCCTCATATCCCGCGTTTGGACCTGAACACGGGTTGCCATATCAGTTGCTTGGAGAAATTGTTTTGAACTTCCTGTGTCCTTTGTTTTACAGCGATACATGGACTCAGAGATCAGAGCCATAATGGCACAGTACATGCCACTGGACAGCCAACCTGAGGTTCCAAACCACGTGAATGATGAACGTGCCTGAGAGAGCGGAATAGTCCATCTATTTATTCCTCGGAAAAGACTCAAGGTGACACATTGTTTTAACCTCTGTGGCCCTTGCTGCATCTGTAACTCCTGTACCAAATAGTCTATTTGCAGAAAGAGGTTTGAGAATCTTAAAATTACTTGATACTGTTTTCAGCATTGTAACTCATGTTTATATCACTTGTGTCCATGGGACTTCTGTTATAGGGAAACTTTGATGTAGCTTCGAAGAATTAAACAGAAAAGATACAAAGA